TATCTAAATAGGACAGGACCCCCACCTTGCCCAGGCGACTTATTCACAGTTAGGGATCTGGGAACCCACACCCCTACCTAGTGGCATGCTGTGTTATTTCCTGCTTTGTAGAACCACCTGTTTGAATTATCACATACTTTTTCATTAAAGGAATTTTTTCATTAAAGGAATTTAACTGCCTGTTTATTTCTGACTTGCAACCACATCACCAGCCTGTTGAACAATACTTAGGGAAAAGGATGTCCCCCTATTCTAATCTTAAGTGAGGAAGATTAGAGAAGACACAGGTTTGGGAAGAAAAAGCACAAGTTTGAGATGACTAATGGGCATTCAAGGGCAGATATCAAGTAGACAGGTGGATCTAAAGGCTGGAGTTCCACCGGGCTTGGTGGCTCAGCCTGCAATCCCAGCACTTTGGGAGGCCAAGGTGAGAGGATTGCCTGAGCCCACAGGTTCAAGACCCACCCAGCCAACTTGGCTAGACCTCATCTCTACAACAAATCAAAAAAATTAGCTGGGCGTGGTAGTGCGTGCTTGTAGTCTTGGCTACTTGGAAGGTGGAAGGATCGCCACAGACCAGGAGGGCAAGGCTGCGGTGGCCGGGAGAGTGCCACTGCCCTCCAGCCTGGGTGACAGAGTGACTCCAACTCAAAAATAAATAAATAAAGGCTGGAGTTCTCATGTGGAGTCAGCAGCATATCAGTTATGCTTAAAACCGTAAAACTGGATGAGATTACAGGAAAAGAATGTAGGCTAGAGGACACAAAGGAGTGGCCCATCGGCCCAACTGCTGACTCACAGACATGTTTTTATTATTATATTATTTCTGATCTCCACATATTTAAAAACGTGTTTCAGAATTTTTTTTGTTTGTTTTTGTTTTTTTTGAGTTGGAGTCTCACTCTGTCACCCAGACTGGAGTGCAGTGGCCGCTACTGGCCACCATAGCCTCGACCTGCTGGGCTCCGGCGATCCTTCCATCTCAGCCTTCTGAGTAGTCGGAATTACAGGCGTGCGCTACCACACCCGGTTAATTTTTTCATTTTATTGTAGAGATGAGGTCTCGCTTGCCCAGGCGGGTCTCGAACCCGCAGGCTCAGGCAACCCACTCACCTCAGCCTCCCAAAGGCACGGGATTATAGGCTGAGCCACCGAGCCTGGCTTCGGAATTTTTTAATTAACAGAGTTCACATTTCTAAAAATGCAATTCCTAGGCCTCTCTTTAAAGAACTGGACAATTTGGCAACACTTGGCTTGAGGGCAGCTTCCTTGTTTATATGAGGCCTGACTTCTCTAATTCACCACAATGTCTCCTCAGGTGAAGCCAACTGGCATCTTCCATTTACTATCATATTTGTAGAGCACACTGTTTACTAATACAAAGAAATACTTCTCAGGACCTACATCTATCAAAACTAGAGAAATGGGCCAGGCGCAGTAGCTCAGGCCTGTAATAAAGAGAGGTTGAATTAGTGCCACTACTTGGGGAAACAGCTGAACACTCATATGGAAAGGTAACATTAAACCACCTTGGAAAACCATTTAGCATCATCTATATAAGTCAAAGACACACACACGGGCACGTGTGCATATACACACACACACACACACACACACACACAGACCCAGAACTCCACTCATAGGTACATATGTCCAATAATCATGTGTAAATATTCATTTGCAGCATTCTTTGCAAAAGTCCCAAAATGTAAATCACCCAAATGCCTACCAATAATGGAATGGACAAATAAACCATGGTATGTCTGTACAATGGAATACTATATGGCAGTGAATCATAGTGAGACACAACATAGATAAATCTCATAAACACATCTGTCAAAAAAAACTGGACACAAACAATATATACTCAATGAGTTCATTTATATTAAATTTTTTAAAAGACAAAACTAAATTACAGTGCTTAGGGTGGCATGCCTAAGTAATAAAAGAAAACGAGAAAGAAGTTAGTATGAAACAGAATACAAAGGCCCTCGGAGGATAGTAACTGCAAGGAGCACCAAGGGAGCTTCTGGAGTCCTCCAAATCTTGTGCTTCTTGGCCCAGCTTCAGTTACACAGCTGCTCTCTCTGCACACACCACTTAGCTGTTTATTTTTGTTTCAGGCACTTTTCTTGATGTGTCATACCACTAAAAGGCTAAAAAAAAAAAAAAAAAAAGACTCAAGGGGCAAGTTAAGCAGCAGATTGGACAAAGCTACCTCAAGAAAACGGGAACTGTGAAGAAGACCTGAAGAAAGTATGGAGAATGAATCTGGAAAGACTAAGACAATTAAACGTCACATGCCAGCAAGAAAGAAGAAGAAAACAAACAGAATCAAGGCAATCTTCAAAGAGAATTCTTAAGTTGATGAAAGACATCAACCCTCACGTCCAGATACTTCTCTGAATCCCAGGCTGGAAAAACAAAAAGAAAACACCTAGACTCATCACAGTGAACCTTCAGAACCACAAACTCAAAGGGAAAGTCTTAAAGAGAACTATGAAAAAACTCAAGTATCTACCAAGAATCAACACGTAGATGAAGTTATCTTCAACAGCAACAATAGAAGCCAGAAGACAGTGACATATTTTTTTTTGTTGTTTTGTTTTGTTTTAAAACAGTTTATTAGTGAGAAGAAGAGATGCAAAAAGGAAGATTCATGGCAAAAAGACCTGCCATGGGTAAGTTTCTCAAAAAAGAAAAATAGCCTGGAATACTCTCTTGAAAATGATAAATTGCCAAGCTAGAATTTTAGAGTCACAGAAACTGTCTTTCAAGATTAGGAGCAAGCCGGGCTCGGTGGCTCGGCCTATAATCCCATGCCTTGGGAGGCTGAGGTGAGTGGATTGCCTGAGCCTGCGGGTTTGAGACCCGCTTGGGCAACTTGGTGAGACCTCATCTCTACAATAAATCAAAAAATTAGCTGGGCATGGTAGTGTGCGCCTGTAGTTCCAGCTACTTGGCAGGCTGAGGCGGAAGGAGATTGCCGGAGCCCAGCAGGTGGAGGCTGCAGTGGCCAGGGGTGGCCACTGCACTCCAGTCTAGGTGACAGAGTGAGACTCCAACTCAAAAAAAAAAAAAAAAGATTAGGAGCAAAATAAAGACATTTTCAGAATGACAAAGACAGTTCATTATCCACGAGCTTTCCAGAAATGACCATAAGGAAAAAGATCCCCAAAAAGTCTGAGATATAAGAAAAGACAAGCAAAGAAAGGGTAAACACTTTGATAAATCTAAACAAATACTGGCTATACAAAGCAAGAAAAAAAAAACAATAATAACCAAACAAGCCCTCACATGAATGTGGACAAAACAGAAAGTGAGCCAGGCACAGTGGCTCAGGCCTGTAATCCCAGCACTTTGGGAGACCAGGGCAAGAGGACTGCCTGAGCCCATGGGTTCGAGACCAGCCTGGGCAACAGTGAGACCTCGTCTCTACAATAAATCAAAAAATTAGCTGGGCTTTGTGATGCACACCTGTAGCTCCAGCAACTTGGAAGGCTGAGGCAGAAGGATCACCTGAGCCCAGCAGGTCGAGGCTGTGTGGCCGTGAGCATGCCACTGCACTTCAGCCTGGGTGGTAGAGTAAGACTCCAACTCAAAAAAAAAAAGAAACAGAAAGTGGAACAGGGATGGAGGAATCAAGAGAGCAAGAGTGATTGACTTTTTCAAGAGGCTTCTTTGTGACAGCAATCAGAAAAATGCAGTCACACATGAAGGGAGATGTGGCATCCAACACGAGTTCAACACATACCAAAAGCCAACTCGCTGAAATCTCAGATGATCAACACTGTTAAGCAATAAATCACTTTTAATTAAAGTATGTACATTCTCTAGAAATGATGCCATTGCACACCTAGTAGACTATAGTATGGTGTACACAAAGCTTTTATATGCACTGAGAAACCAAAGAACACACAAGCTTTGCTTTATTGCAGTATTCGTTTTATTGCAGTAGTCTGGAACCAAACTTACACTACCTCAGAGTTATGCCTGTGCTATGAAAATTAAATTAGATTACGCAAGCAAAACAGCAGAGTTCAAAGTTTGTTTTTTGTTGTTTTATTTATTTATTATTATTTTTTTTTTTTGAGTTGAAGTCTCACTCTGTCACCCAGACTGGAGTGCAGTGGCCGCTCCCGGCCACTGCAGCCTCAACCTGCTGGGCTCCGGCGATCCTTCCGCCTCAGCCTTCCAAGTAGCTGGAACTACAGGCGCGTGCTGCCACACCCAGCTAGTTTTTGACTTATTGTAGAGATGAGGTCTCACCAAGTTGCCCAGGCAGGTCTTGAACCCGCAGGCTCAGGCAATCCATTCACCTCAGCCTCCCAAAGCACTGGGATTACAGGCTGAGTCACCCAGCGCGGATGAGTGCAAAGTTTTAAGTAGACAATGTTTCAAATGTCAGCTGTTATCTTATCTTATTTTTTTGTTGTTTTTAGTGAGAAAGCAGGATTTATTAAGAGGACAGAAAAGCTCCCAGAGTGGGAGGGGATCCAAAGGGGTTACACTGTTATCTTTTAAAATTCAAGTAATAATTCCTACATAAACAGGCCTCAACATCTTCTCCATGAAGATATCCTTATGAAAATGCTATTAGAGACATTAATAGTGGCTAATAGCTAATGAGCACATTCTGCATGTTAAAACTGTACTGAAGCCTTTAGAGGGGCTGTCTATAGGAATTCTCAGATAAGCCACTGGAGGAGGCAGGTACCATGGCACCCCTACTACGAACAGTCAGCTGAGACAAAGAGAGGTGAGCAGCCTGCCCCAGCCCCCAGAATAAGTGGTGGAGACAGAACTGTCGGGTCTGTGTAGCTCAGAACACTGATCACCAGCACTCCCCATCCTGAGGTGGGCAGCGGCTAAGACCGACTCACAAGCAAGCTGAGGACAAGCTAGCTGTTCCTTGCCTTACTCTCTGCTTAACCACCCAAGGTTCCTCGTTGGAAAAGTGGAAGACAGATATGTTTCTTGACTTTTGCTTTTTAACTTACCCACTCGCAGTCGATGCCAAGCACTGGAAGATCTTCTAGCTCACGTCTAAGCAAGGACTCGACGTGATCCCACTCGGCCTCCTGAGACACCGTCACCACCTCTGCCTGGAGGAGCTGCTCCTGCCACGCGGCCTGGGGGGCACTGGGGGGCAGCTGGGCCTCATTCGCAGGGGGTGGCTCACGACTGCCTGGCCCCTCCTGCAGCTGCTGCTGGGTGGCCCGACTGCTTTTACCCCTCCGACGCTGGATGCCTTTCCAGAGGACAAACCCCCCCACAGCCACACCCAGAAGGGTGGTCACTGTCAAAGCCACCAAGTTCTGTCTAGACATTTTCAACTCTGTTACTGTTTAGGAAGGTACATCACTAATCCCACAATCTGCAAAACAAATGCAAAAAGATATTTATACAGAATATAAACAAGCTTTCTCCTAAACGGGGTCCCATTTATAATCTCTGTGTCTACAAACTAAAACAACTGCTATACATTTCTACAGGAAACAGTAATACTTTAATTTTTTCATTTTTGTACTCTGTCCTCCATGCCTAAATCCATCCTTGCTCCAGAAAGGTCCCTGCCCTCTGACAGTGGCCCAGGGCTCCCATACCGATGTAAAATCATATCAGACAAAATAATAAGCTAGATTCTCACTTCCAATTGCTGATTTGTGATTTTTTAATGGATCTTCTTCAAAGTGTTTGCACTTTAAACCTTTAATGCCTAACAGTTGAGTGAAAGCTTTTGCTTCTCAATTAAAAAAAAAAAATTTCAACCATCAGTAAGTTGGTGGGGCAATTTTCTCACTTCTCTGGAAGGTGTGGGCAGTGGGGGAGTGGAGGAAACAGGCTTAAGGAAACACTTGCTGTTGCTCCAGAAATCTCACAGTTCTCCATAGAAACGGAGTCCATTCTTTCTTGCAGGGTACAGCAGGACAGCACAAAAGAGAAGAGAGAAAAGAAAACAGAAGGGCGGAGCTTAGAGAGAGCTCCAAGGTGCTGGGGGAGGCTGCAAACTGAGCCATCCACAGGGCCAGGCCCACGTTAATAAACGAATCAAGCTAGGGGCTTTCTCCATGTATGTTTTGTTTTCCCATTTTCAAGAACCCTATCACTGCACTCCTAAAATAACAACAGTAAATGGTAAGTGGCCCCTGGCCCAGGGACAAGGAGAAAGCCTGGCCCAGAATCCAGCAGAGCGGATTGACCCTGTAAAGAAGAGCGTGGCCTGGCACTCTGCGTAGCCAGGCGTCAGGTATCTGCATTTTACATGAAATGTCACCACTTTTATTTTTATGTATTTATTTATTTTGAGTTGGAGTCTCACTCCATCTCCCAGGCTGTAGTTCAGTGGCACGCTCACGGACACTCCAGCATCGACTAGTTGGGCTCAGGCAATCCTTCCACCTCAGCCTTCCAAGCAGCCAGAAAAACAGGCGCGCGCTACCACGCCTGGATAATTTTTTGGTTTATTGTAGAGATGAGGTACCGCCAAGTTGCCCAGGCTGTTCTCAAACCTCACCTCTGCCTCCCAAAGTGCTGGGATTACAGGCTTGAGCCACCGCGCCTGGCCTATGCCTATGTCACCACTTTTAAGTGTCGGCAATAAATATGCAGATTTAAAACCTATTGTGCCAGTCAGACAAAACACTCTGGACTACTCATCTGTGGGCTCCAGCCTAAAACCCAGCTGCCCAGAGACAGAGCCACCATCTGCATCCTGCCTACACTCCTCCACGGCTCAAGGTGTCCACTTGGTGTGCACTGTTATTATAGCTTTTCAAAAGTTGCAACAACAAATTTTTTTAAATAATTTCATATTTACAACAAACCTGGATCATAATGCCTATAGAGATATTCAGCTACTAGAGAAGAAAAAAGAAATCAGCAATTAGTATAATAATGAAAAATGGAAACACAGCAGCTATGCTGTTTTCAAAAACACTTTACTTCACAAACTGTACTAGGTCCTTCCTATGCATCTCTTCTAGGACTTTTATTGAAGAGGAAACTGAGGGTTCATGAAATTAAATAACTTGTGCAGAGAAACTTCTGGTTAAAATAATCTGAGAAGACACAAAAAAATTCTTCCTCTCCCACTCTAAACACGAATGCTGGTGAAAACATTAAAAAGATAAAAATGTAATACACAACTAAGTTAAAAAATAATAATAATAATAATAAAGAAAAAGAGGCCGAGATCGGTGCTCAGCCTATACTCCCGCGCCTTTGGGAGGCTGAGGTGAGTGGAATGCCTGAGCCCGCGGGTTCGAGATCCACCTGGGCAACTTGGCGAGACCTCATCTCTACAGTAAATCAAAAAATTAGCCAGGCGTGGTAGCACGCACTTGTAGTTCCAGCTACTTGGAAGGTTGAGGAGGAAGGATCACCGGAGCCCAGCAGGTCGAGGCTGCGGTGGCCGGGAGCGTGCCACTGCACTCCAGTCAGGGCGACAGAGTGAGACTCCAACTCAAAAAAAAAAAGAAAAGAAAAAGAAAAAGAGAGAGAGAGGGGAATCATCAAGTGCCAGAAACAAAAATGAGAACCCACAGTGGGAGGAGATGAGACTTGGCAGAGGCCAAACTCACCCCAGTCCAGCACCAAGGTATGTCACCCACCCAGGGACAGAAGTCTAAGCCACAGGCCCGGGACACAGCTGGAATCCTGGAGTGTGCCACCCTGTCCACAAACAGAGATCTGAAGTGCCCATCCACCTGGGCTCAGACTAATCATGTGAACAGAGCCTCTCACAGGAGGGAATCCCTCACACCTACACTTGGAGCAGGGAGGGTCCAAGTTCACGTGGGCCTAATAGCAGGAAAGACACTAAATTAAAACTGCCCTGGAATGAATAAGCCCTGCTGGAACCAGACAGAGTCCATCATAAAAAGCATGTATATGTGTGTTTCTGCTTCATAGGAAACATGCGTGACAGTCATGGAAGACAGTCATGGAATCCCCAGAAGAGGATTCACAGATGAATCAAAACAAAGCCCTAAAGCCAATAAAAACAGTTCATAGAGCATCAAAGACTTCCATACCTGTGGTCTAACAGGGACATGAAAAGAAGAATATTCAGAGCTATTAAAGAAATAGTATCTAAAACATGTACAGGAGACAAAAAATTTTAAATGCAGATATTCTAGATATGAAAAATATTAATCAGCAAAAAAAATTTTTTTTTGAGTTGGAGTCTCACTCCGTCACCCAGACTGGAGCGCAGTGGCCACTCCCGGCCACCGCAACCACGACCTGCTGGGCTCCAGCGATCCTTCCGCCTCAGCCTTCCAAGTAGCTGGAACTACAGGCGTGCGCTACCATGCCTGGCTAATTTTTTGATTTATTGTAGAGATGAGGTCTCACCAAGTTGCCCAGGCGGGTCTTGAACCCGCGGGCTCAGGCAATCCCCTCCTCAGCCTCCCAAGGCGTGGGATTACAGGCTGAGCCACCGAGCCCGGTTAATCAAAAAAATTTTAAACTCAATACTCAATAGGTTAAACATCAGATCAGACATATGGAGAGAGAATGAATTGAAGAAAAAAAGTCTGAGGAAGTCACCAAAATGTGGCACAGAGAGATAAAGAGGAAGAAAACACAATACAGCAGAGACATGGAGAATGGACAGAGAAACTCCAATATTCATGAAATAAAGATCTAGATGCTGGGTGTGGGAGCTCACGCCTGCAATCCCAGCACTTTGGGAGGCCAAGGCAGGAAAATCACTTGAGCCCAGGAGTTCGAGACCAGCCTGGGCAACATAGCCAGACCTCATCTCTACAAAAAATACAAAAATTAGCCAGGCATGGTGACATGTACCTGTAATCCCAGCTACTTGGAAGGCTGAAGTGGGAGAATTGCTTGAGGCCAGGAGGTCAAGGCTGCAGTGAACCAGGATGGCACCACTGCACTCCAGCTTGGACCACAAAGTGAGACTCTGTCCCCTCCCCACTTAAAAAAACAAAAAACTAAACCAAAAAAAAATTGGAGCCATGCTTAACAAGTTCTGGCCTGATCATGCTGTTCTTTGAACTCTGGCCAGGCCATGTTTTGGCCCCCTTCCCACCATGGGGAGGTGAGGTGACTCTTTCCTTTCTCTCTCCCTAATCTACTTTCTAAGTGAACTATATTTTCCAATCTAAAAGATTTGGAATGTTTTAAGAGGGTCACATTTGGTACCATCCTCTGAGTCCCAAGTTGGATAAATTAAATCTATCCACAAAAAAGACCTGTATAAGAATGTCTACAGCAATTTCATTCATAAACCCAGGTGGCACGTTCATACCATGGAGTTCCACTCAGCAATAACAAGGAATAAACTACTGACACATGCAAAACCGACAGTCTCAAATAACTTTATGCTGAGCTAAAGTAGCCAGGTACAGAAGAGATTCATATGGTACTATCTAAAGTTCTAGAACAGCTAAAACTACTCTATGGTAGAAAAAATCTAAACAGTGGTTGCTTCTGGGGGAAGGAGGGACAGGAAAGAGGCATTTAAGCTGAGCTGTCAGTGACCAAAGGAGCCAATCATGCCAGATTCTAAGGAAGAGCATTTCAGGCATGAGGAACTTTCTGGAATGGTGGTAAAGTTCCACCTCTTGATGGGGCTCGGGTTACACAGGAGTATGCATTTGTTAAAAGTCAGGGATCAGCTCATACCTGTAACCCCAGCACTTTGGGAGGCCAAGGTGAGAGGACTGCCTGAGCCCAAGGTTTGAGACCAGCCTGGGCAACTTGGTCCTCATCTCTACAATAAATGGGCAACCTGTAGCCTCATCTCTACAATAAATCAAAAAATTAGCCAGACATGGTGGCTATTTTTTATTTTTTGTAGAGATGAGATCTTGCTACGTTGCCCTGGCTGGTCTCAAACTCCTGAGGTCAAGCAGTTCTCCCCCTCAGCCTCTCAAAGTGCTGGGATTACAGGTGTGAGCCATTATGCGTGGCCAGATGTTCAATTCTTTTATACAAAAATTTCAAAAATAAGAATAGCTGTAATTCCACCTGTAATTCAGCTACTTGGAAGGTTGAAGCGGAAGAATCACCTGAGCCCAGAAGGTTGAGGCTGCAGTAGCCATGAGTGTGCCACTGAACTCCAGCCTGGGCGACAGAATGAGACTCTGACTCAAAAAATAAAATAAAATAAAAAGTCAGGGATAGTTCTGATGTTTCTCCTGTGGGCCTGACTGATGGCAGCACCTCTGTTGGTTCATCCACCGTCTATCTTTTCCACTAGAAGTAAAACCCATAAGAACAGGAACCTTAACTGCTTGTCACCACCACATCTCCAGTGACTAGCACAGAGCTGATAATACTCAGCAAATGCTTGCTGAAT